AGAATACATTTTTTGATATTATATGGAATCTTCAATGTTCTCCACAAGATTTTGAAAGTTCGTGGTCAACAATGTTAGATAAGTTTCATCTAAAAGAAAATGATTGGTTAAGGTCTGTTTTTAAAATAAGGGATTTATGGATTCCAGCTTTTATGAGAGATCTTGAACTTTCTGGTTTGATGGGAACTACTTCAAGATCAGAGAGTCTGAATAATGCTTTCTCACATTTTTTGCATCATAAATCAAATTTGGTGAAGTTAATGATGTCGTTTGATAGTGCAATGGAGAATCAAAGGCATCATCAATCTTTATTTGATTATCATTCCACAACTACTACCCCCAAGCTAAGGACTCCTTTGGCTATTGAAAAGCATGCATCGAAAATTTATACACATAATATTTTCTTGGACATTCAGAAAGAGTTATATAAATCTGTGTTTCATTGTGTTCAAGAATCTGTAGTTATTGAAGATGAAAGTGAAGTTTATGTTTTGAGAGATAAGAAGAAAAAAAAGTTGATTGATAAAAATGTGAATGAGGATGAAGAATCTGACGACTTTTATCGAAATAGTCTTCCTTCTCATTGTCCTAATACTCGTTACAAGGTATGTCTCTTTGTCCTAATACAGTTTATTAAATATAAAATGTAGTTTCAAAATTCACATTGTGAATGTAGGATGTTTTGCTAATTAATAGTGTGAATTTTTATAGAGTTATAAATTGGTTTTTACTTTTCATTATATTAGTATGATTTCTAATGTCCTGTTGATTAATAATGTGAATTGATGTTAATTTGTATATTTTTTATCGAATGGTATGAGATAGAATTTCTTATTCACATATTAATTTGTTTATTAATGATAATTTTGTAGTTTGTATTTAGTAGAAGGGGTGATAGCATTAGCATCAGTTGTAGCTGCATGCTTTTTGTCCAGGAAGGATTGTTATGTCGTCATATGTTTTTCATATTAAATATGAAAGAGTATGATGAAATTCCATCAAATTTCATTTTGAGGAGATGGGGAAAAGATATCATAGCTGATGGATTGTTGAGAAAAAAGTACTCATATCCTCATAAAGGCAGTAAAAATGAATGTTTGATTCAAGATGCATATGCTATTCTTCGTTTGTCCATTAACAAGATAGCAAATAATGAGGATGAGTTGGCTAAATATATAAAGCAACTTCAGGAGGTTGATAGTGGTATTCCTTTATGTACCTCATCAAGGGCATCTTCGAGTAGATCAGTTCACATTGAAAAAATTATTGGAGCTGCAGTACCTGATGTTATCAACATTCATAATCCAGAGGGGATCAGAAACAAGGGATGGGCCAGTGGTAAAAGAATCAAGAGCACTAGAGAGAAAGTGATTGAGAATCTAAAAAGGGTACTAGGTTGTGCAGTTTATGTCATAAACCAAATCACAATGCTAGGAGTTGCATTTTGAGGTTTAAGAAGTCTGATTTAGAATCTGAGGTTACAGAAGGCTGATTGTTTCTAACTTTTTTTTTAAGACGACTAAAATAAGATTTGATTTTTGTAATGATCATTCAATGGATAGAAATGTTGAAATATTGATGTTAATTTTGATATTCATTGTTTTAGAGTTTATTTCTAATAATAGAATATATTTTTTTCAAATTTATTGTTTTTGGTTAAAGATATTTTTTTCTTGTTAGTTTTTTGAATATTTTCTAATAAAAATTTCATGCTAATGATTAATTTATGTATATTAATTATCATTGACAATATCATATATAAAATTTCATGTTAAAGATTGTCTAAATGTAATTTAATTCACATTGTGAATCTCAACTATAAATTGTTTTAATGATCTATATGTACCATAATTCACATTGTGAACCTCACATATAAAATATACATGTTATAATATGTACTGTAATTCACATAGTTAATCTTACATATAAAATTTCACAAGGTTAACATATAAACAATGTAAATTTTCTACATATATTGTATGTTATTACATTAACATTTAATCATTTAGACCAAAAGAAATGAAGTAAATGTATGAAATGACAATGTACTTTCAATTCTTTATTCATAGTAGAAATATAATCACTTCCCCCCACCACACACCAATATCATTTTTTAATAAAACATGTAATTGTATAACATACATGTAGACATTCACATGAAAATATAAACATCTTTTAAGTATTTAGTAAAGTTCATTATATTTGATATAGAAACTAACATCAAATTGTAACATAACAAGCATGTATATGTTCTTAAAGAAATTAAAGTGCATCTAAACTTATACTAATAATGAATAGAAAACTAAATTTTAAGTTTTACGCTTCTTTTTCCAATCCTTGAAGTATTATATCCTTTCTCCCCTTTTTTCCCATCCCTTGTCGAGCAAATCTTTTATTTCTTCATTAGTCTTTTTTGCAAACTTAGCTGTTTGTGCAATGATTTTTGACCAGTGTGTGTTTGCGTCACTCAATAGTATCTTTGTCAAATACTTAATGCGTAAATCGTTTAACACACTTTGTTTTTGTTTTGATTCTTTTGGCAATCCACATGTCCAATTTACTGTTTTATCTCCCATATATGTCTCCATATGACGCTTGCAAAAAACTCCACAGTCAACATGATTATCCCTCGTGCGCCAATTCATGTTCACCCTTTATGGTTCAACACCCTCCAAAGTTAAAGCTGATTTGTGATTGACCCTCATCAAGTACCTACTAAAAAGTATTTTCTGCAAAAAAGAAATTGTCATTTTCTATAGTTATTATTTTATTTAGATTATCAGTCTATTAATACTTATATTTATAATGTAAATTTAATATTCTTACCAATTCATTAGGTGCATCACGATAAGCTCTAGAAAACTTTGCAACTGAATTCCTATTGCCAATGACATCAACCACTGGTTCCTCTAAGTTTATGCAGATGATGTAAAAGTGATTTTTTGATGAATTGGTAAAAACACCTGTTTAATAATTTAAATTGTTAAACTTTGTTAAAAATATGTAATATATTCAACAAAAAGAACAGTTTATTACCAAGTGAACTTTTTCAAATGTCAGAAGTTCTTTGTCATTTTTCATTGCATCTTGATATTTGACTCAAATTTATCAAATCTTTGATTGAAAGGGATATTTTTGTCAAATATGAACGTCTCTGCAAAAAAATTTAAATATACATCAATCTTAAAGAGTAAATTGTTAAATTCACAATAAGTTAAATTTTAAATTTACAAATTATTCACACTGTGAATTATAATGGGATTCACTGTGTGAATTTTATTACTTATTCAGAACAATTGAAAATTGTATTTGTTATTATTTCAACATTATCATGATATATATTTTTAATTAACTTACCAAAATTGATGTATCAAAGAAATACCATTCAGTGTAGAATTTGATTTAAGTTTTTCTTCATAGTTCAAAATATAGTCCAAGCATCAATGACATGTGCATGTACCCATAATCCTGCCTGCATTGTTTCACTCATTCCTCTTCCAAGCACATACCCTCTTAGTCTGAAATACCTTCTCACTTAATTTGTAATCAAATAAAACAAAAAAGTAGTTAATAGAAAATTAATTTGTATTGTATTTTATATACTATTGTATTTAAATAAACAAATAACATGAATTATTACCTGCTATTACCAATTCTGGAAAAAATTCTATCTGATACTTTTACTTCATATGGATCTACAAATTTTGATGCACAGACCTGTTTTTTATTATAAGGAGAAGATAGCTTCAGTGATGGTTTTTTAATTCTTTTTCCTACTTCTCTTTTTTGTCTTCATCATCTTCACTTCCAAGATATTATTGTCACATTCTGTTTTTTCTTAATCATAACTTTCTCCTTCATCAAGTTTTCATTCTTTTATTTCTTTCTTCATGTTTTCATCTTCACTGCTTTCATCTCCTTCCTGAAACTCTTGTGTTAGACCAAGACCAAGTCCAAGTGAAAAAACTAGGCATTGATGATTTTCTAGTATTTTTTTTTTCTTTTTTTTATCATCTATTTTTGTTTTCTCTAAAACTTTTACATTTTCAAAATCATCATAATTATCAAATTTAAAATACATTGAATAGAATCAGCAATCTCATGCACTATTGGATCATTGTACAAATTTCCTGGTGTTACCATCATTGTTTGATTCTTTATTTCATGTTCATTCAAATTCTCTTCGCTTTTTTTTTTCATCTTCATCCTGTCACCTTTGCATCATCTTCATTTTGAGTTTTATAATATGAATTCTTGTTCAAAGACTTTCTTCATATCTTTCAACTCATCGCTTTCTGTGAATTTTGTTGTTGAAAACTCAATTAACTTTCCAAACTTCATTTTATCATTCACTAGTTTTTGTAATCCTTTTTCGCTTTGAATACCAATTCCTGCGAAATGAGATAAAAAATGTCAAAGAAAATGATTTTTTTTAAACTTTTTTCTATAATAAATTACAGTTTCAGAATATGAATGCATTGATGAGGTATCACATTTTTAATGCATTTTAATAAATTACATATTCACTTTGTGAATTTATTATAGAGAAAGTAATAAAATACACTTTTATATTCACATGTGAATCACTTTATGAATTTCATTTTAACTACAATTTTATAACATATATCTGTAATTTAACTTCAATTTTTTTTTTAATTATATAGATTATTAACTTACATCGAGTTTTCATATTTCATTTTCATCGGGTGTCGGATTCTTCATCATTCTCTATAACATCATCATTCCATTCCAAAGTTCCAAAGTCACCACTCTTTAACTCAGCTTTTCCCTTTTCACCATCATTTCATAATCCCAAAAATGTAGTGCATGTATTTGTCTTTTTCATTCTTATCATTTCTCATAAACTCCAAATAAGCTAGCTGTTTATGTAAACAAAATTATGATTAATTAGTTTTCTTATAATAATATAAATAAAAGTGTTAATTATAAGAATTTTCCTTACCAATAATACAAGAAGTGGCCTACAATAGTAGTTTCCTCTATCGGTTTAATCCCATGTCGTCTCTTGACATTTTCAAGCAATTGGTTATAAAACCACACCAGTCAATTTCTCTCATAGGTGTTTTGCCTAACAAATGTGGCAATACTGTTGTCTTACAAGTTCCAGGCTTATTCTGTTCACAAATGGTATTAACAAACAGTAATACAAAGTTTGTTCTGAAAATAATCCCTGAATCTGATGATTCTTTAATTTTCTCTTCAACATCCGATGGTCTCATAGCCTTGAAATTGTATTGTTGCTTCCAGTCCATTAATTCTTTTCCTTCACATTGATCAGTGTTATATATATCTTTTCCACCTAGAGGAATTCCAAGCAAATCATGAACAAGTTCTGGTGTTATGTCTATCTTTGCATTAGGTAGATGGATTTTTATATCTGATGGGTTGAATGAATTCACAACAAAACGTGCCAATTTCCCAGAAATTCCATTCGTTGCAATTCTCAGCAAAGATCCCAATCCCATTTCTCTGACAGCTTTCTCTGTTCTTTGTTTATAGATTTAACAATATCATAAAACTTCTTTGGGCTCATTCTTGTTCTCAAAGATACTATGTCATTTGGATTTATTGACACTTTTGCCTTTTTTTTCTTTGACTACTTCCTGTTAGTCAATAATATTCATAAGCTTCTCATAATATAACATATATAATATAAAATAACTAACAATACAAGAAATTCACATGTGAATTTGTTTTGCAAAATATAATATAATACATAAAATAAACATGTGAATTTGTTTATAACTTTGTAAATTAAACATGTGAATAGTAATAATAAACAAACCTGTTATTTTTTCATCAGATTCTTTCTTTACAAGGCTATCTTCAACTTTAATAGGAGTCACAGATTTTTTGTATTCAATCATTTTAAGTCTTGGACTCTGTCTGATTTTTGTTCATGTTTTAACAAATTTATAAAGAATTAATTTTATAATACCAAATTCAATTATAATTTTATAAATACTAACCTTGAGTTGTTTTCTTTTCAGGTGTCTTGAAAACAGATTTTTCTTGCTTCATCGACTTTTTCGTTTTGTTTATGTAATCTTGGACTGTCTGATTTTGTTCATTAAAAAAAAATAAAATTAAAGATAATTGATTTTATATATTAAAGTAAATTATAATTTTATAAATACTAATCTTGAGTTGTTTTCTTTTCAAGTGTCTTCAAAACAGATTCATCTTGCTTCATCATTTTTTTTGTTTGCTTTTTTTGAATCTCATCAGCTTCTAAACTTTTTTCTTTTCTAACATTTTCTTCAATAGTCTTTTCAACTTCATTTTTTCTTAACTTATTAACTATTTCCACCACGGTTCTCCTTGTTGTGTTTTTGGTATATTTTTTTGAACCTTCAACTACATAATGTGAAATTTTTAATATGAATGTCAAAAATATAAGTAGTATTAATACATGTCAAACAATATAAAATTGAACATGTGATGATCAAATTGCAAAAACTTTTTAGAAATTCACATTGTGAATCTGTTAGGCTATGAGCTATATTCAAGATTCACATTGTGAATTTATGCATTTAATAGCAAAAGAGTTTGAGGTTCACCAAATGATGTACACATACACATGGTGAATTTTTACAATTACATTGAGCATAGTGAAATACAAACAAAAGTGTTGATCAACTTGCAAAAAAAATATGTTTTTATGAGATTCACATTGTGAATTCGTTTGAATGTGAGATACACATCTAAGATTCACATTGTGAATTTATGCATTTAATAGCAAAAGAGTTTGAGGTTCACCAAGCGATATACACATACACATTGTGAATTTTTACAATTACTTTGTGCATACTGAATACAAACAAAAGTGTTGATCACCTTGCAAAAAAAACGTTTTTTTAACAGATTCACATTGTGAATCTGTGTGAACGTGAGATACACATCCAAGATTCACATTGTGAATTTATGCATTTAACAGCAAAAGTGTTTGAGTTTCACCAAATGATGTACACATACACATGCTGAATTTTTACAATTACATTGTGCATAGTCAAATACAAACAAAAGTGTTGATCAACTTGCAAAAAAAATATTTCTAAGAGATTCACATTGTGAATCTGTTTAAATGTGACATACACATCTAAGATTCACATTGTGAATTTATGCATTTAATAGCAAAAGTGTTTGAGTTTCACCAAATGATGTACATATACACATGGTGAATTTTTACAATTACATTGTGCATAGTCAAATACAACACAAAAAGTGTTGATCAACTTTCAAAAAAAATGTTTTTAGAGATTCACATTGTGAATCTGTTTGAATGTGAGAAACACATCCAAGATTCACATTGTGAATTTATGCATTTAATAGCAAAAGAGTTTGAGGTTCACCAAGTGATGTACACATACACATGGTGAATTTTTACAATTACATTGTGCATAGTCAAATACAAATAAAAGTGTTGATCAACTTGCAAAAGAAAAAAAAACATTTTTTTAACAGATTCACATTGTGAATCTGTGTGAATGTGAGATACACATCCAAGATTCACATTGTGAATTTATGCATTTAACAGCAAAAGAGTTTGAGGTTCACCAAGTGATGTACACATACACATGGTGAATTTATACAATTACATTGTGCATAGTCAAATACAAACAAAAGTGTTGATCAACTTTCAAAAAAATATGTTTTTAAGAGATTCACATTGTGAATCTGTTTGAATGTGAGATACACATCCAAGATTCACATTGTGAATTTATGCATTTAACAGCAAAAGTGTTGATCAACTTGCAAAAGAAAAAAAAAACATTTTTTTAACAAATTCACATTGTGAATCTGTGTGAATGTGAGATACACATCCAAGATTCACATTGTGAATTTATGCATTTAATAGCAAAGAGTTTGAGGTTCACCAAGTGATGTACACATACCACATGGTGAATTTTTATAATTACATTGTGCATATTCAAATACAAACAGAAGTGTTGATCAACTTGCAAAAGAAAAAAACACATTTTTTTAACAGATTCACATTGTGAATCTGTGTGAATGTGAGATACACATCCAAGATTCACATTGTGAATTTATGCATTTAACAGCAAAAGAATTTGAGGTTCACCAAGTGATGTACACATACACATGGTGAATTTTTACAATTACATTGTGCATAGTCAAATACAAACAAAAGTGTTGATCAACTTGCAAAAAAAAAATGTTTTTAAGAGATTCACATTGTGAATCTGTTTGAATGTGAGATACACATCCAAGATTCACATTGTGAATTAGTTTTTTTTAATAAGTGTGTAGTATAGGATTAGATAATTAGTTATTTTAATCTGAATGCAAATGTTCTAACCTTTTTTTTATCTTGAATATCTTCAATTTTTTCACTTGTAGTTGAAGGTAGAACATCTTTTAGACTTCTTGTCAATTTCATTCTTTTCTTATTATCCTTTTTTCATTGATCTTTTCTTCATTTCCTGTTTTTGATTAACAAATTAATTCAAACATCAATTTCATGGTATGAAAGTTATGATTTATTCACATTGTGAATTCAGTTTGAATCAAAACATTACCAACGCAACTCTTTATAAATTTACAATGAGAAGCACAATAAGAGATACAATATGAATTAAACATAGATACACAATGGGAATTTCACAAGATGAAAAAATCAAATGTAAATGATAAATCACCCTGTGAATTCACAATTTGAATAAATGATATGTTAAATTAATATATAATCATGATTCACTTTGTGAATTGTCAAATAATATAATACTCAAAAACATTGAATCCTTTCAAAATAATCAAATGTAAATCACAAAGCACACTATGAATTCAAAATGTGAAATTAGTTTTTCAGTTTAATGAATAAATTCAGAAACCACTTAGATTCACAAAGTTTTTAGGAAATTACGGTTTGTACTTTAGATATTCATGATTTCTGTATCGATTTGAAGAAATTTATATCATTAGGTTTTTGGTAATTATACGAATTCTCAAAAGTTCATGAAATTAGGGTTTCGATTTACTTAATAAACTCATATTCGAGTTAGATTCACAAAGTTTTAGGAAATTTCAGTTTGTAATATAGATATTCATTAGGTTTTCGTTATGTATACAAATTATTAAAAGTTCATCATCCGACGAGGGTTTCAAATCAGTCTAAAACGATTTTGTTAATAAAATAGTGTATTAACAGATTCATCGAATACATAATGTAACAGATAGTTTAGATTTGTCGTTTTGAAATTTATCAATCGAAAAAATATAATGTTGAAAATGGATTAAATGAGATAATCGAAAGTGAATAGCAGTCAAATATACCTTCTAGATTCATTTTGACGAACTTTTCGAGAAGATTCACTGTGGATATTGACTGAATCGTCGTCGGAGATTCGTTTGAAATCGATGTTGTCGGTGGAGTAAAAGATCGCTTTCAATGAGAGGGTAAAATCGATTTCACTAAATTGAAACTGATGAACTAACGACGTTAATTAACAGTGAGAGTTAAAAAGTTTTAGTTTGACGACAATACCCCCTTAAGTTATGTGTTTGGTTATAATCAGTTGCACACTATTGTTTTTCATACTTTTACATCTCAAATCCAATGGCTGTTAATATTTTGATCCAACCATCTTAATAAGTTCCTTGGTTCCTCCACCCATATTGGTTCTCTATTGAACCCGTCCCTATATTATATATATATATATATATATATATATATATATATTAATATATATATATATATATATATATATATATATATATATTATATAATAATATTTCAAAGAAGTTAAATCGTTTAAAAGCCACAAATAATAATCTAAATAATACAATCACATCATTCGTTTGATATATTAGTGATAGATTTATGGAACCATAATTAGGGTTATATATATATATATATATATTATATATATATCTTATATTATATATATATAGAGTGAGAGAGAGAGAGAGAGAGAGATACATGTTGCAAAGGAACTCCTATATATTATACAAAGAGTATAAAACAATAAAACAAAATAATATTTTAACACACCCCCGTAGTTGGAACAGGATGATCTCGAATGTTCAAACAATTTCTAATATCCAAAAATAACCGAGTAGGGAGACCCTTTGTAAAAATGTATGCATACTGATAAGCTGAAAGAACATGTAAAACACGCACACGACCAATCGCAACACGCTCCATAACAAAATGTAAATCTATTTCCACATGTTTGGCTCTTTGGTGTTGCACTAGTTTGGAGGTCAAAATACATGGCACTAACGTTGTCACAAAAGACAACAGTGGCCCCATGAGAGTAGGCAATAAGGCTCAAGAAGAAGATTTTAAAGCCATTCAATTTTTGCAACAACATTAGCTACCCCCTGCTACTCGGCTTCGGTACTAAAGCGAGACACGACATGATGTCGTTTGGAGGACCAGGAGATGAGATTATTACCTAGATAAACACAGAACCCAAAAGTGGACTGACGACTAGTAGGACAA